CTGGAGAGATGGCTCAGCAATTAAGAGCACTGACTGCTCTTGCAGAGAACCCGGGCTCAATTCCCAGTACCCACATGGCAGCTACAAACCCTCCTTAACTCCACTTCCAGGGAAATCCAAAGCCCTCTTCTGACCTCTGCGGCATTGCACAACACAGGTGCACTCACATACATGCAGGCAATACACTCATACACATAAAATAAAAATAATAAATAAAATAAAAAGCACATATGAAGTCAGATGTGGTAGTGCATTGAATTTCACAACTGGGCTGCTACATTAATTATTTTGAGTTTTGTGGTATGGCTCTGATCTCTATGAGAACAAGGCCAGTGTGGTCTACGTAGTGAGTTCCAGGGAGACCCTGTCTCAAAAACAAACAAAAAGCAATCCAAGAACAAAAACAAAAAGCACATATGAAATTATGAAGCAATGTACATAAAAAAGAATTAAGTCTTTACTGTCAAATAGTATGAAAACTCATTTTTCTTTTTGTCTCCTCATTAGTTGTATACTTACCATTGCAACATCCTGGGTTCTTTCCATTGCACTGCCCTGTCCATCCCCACAAATGGATTAGAACTAGATCAGAAACTGGTCATTGACCCAGAGAGTAAAAAAAGATGACCAACCCAGGTGTGGTGGCCCGTGCCTTTAGTCCCAGCACCTGGGAGGAAGAAGCAGGCAGACCTCTGTGAGTTCAAGGCCAGCCTGGTCTACATACTGAGCTCCAGGCCAGCTGGAGCTACAGAGAGACCCTGTCTCCAAAAGACCCCCCCCCAAAAAAGATGACCAAAGAAACATACAATTTTAAGAATAGGATAAAACCTTAAAAACTACCTAACCTGGAAACGAGAAACGTGAGGCCCAGGCTTGCCCAAGGTCACATGGCTAGTTTTCTGTAATGCTAGAATTATAACTTTGGTCTAGTTAGGTTAGCAGTGATGGAGCAGATCAATGAAAGAACAGGTCACTATTGTTTTTCCATTTTAGCATGTATGAAACTTAGAAAAACTGGACATCTGTCACACATCTACAGAAATAAATCCTTTTATTTTATAACATTCCTTTTCTTCTTTAAGATGCATACAGTACTTATAAGCCCAAGAATTCTGAGAAAAACTATAGAAGACCTGGCATTATTTTTGAGAATTATACAACTGGGTGGCAAAATAACACCTTTATAAATGAACAGACATACAGAAATAAAATTTAGTGTTTGCACATAAAAATAAGAAGGTTACATTCAACACGTTTCTTGAATGTGCATTTAAATGTTTAACTTTTTCTAAAGCTTTGGTCATCATGCTTTATTATAACTTGTTAAATTTCACAATTATGTGGATGATTAAACCCAAAAGATTAGCAAATATATCATAGTAACACAGCAGCAATAGCAAGCTAATACTGTACAATCATATTAGCAGACTGATTCAGAAACATGTTACTCACAAACAGCACACAAAACTCACTTTGTGATAACATGGTTAAATGACTTTTCTTCCACTTCATAAAACAAGGCAAAGTAATGAGACATAGCAGAACATGATTACATAATAAAAAGAATATTTTTAATTACAAATATAATTGTACATATGGGGAAACAAATTGCAGTTTCTATAGAATAGTGCAAATGAGCAGGATTTTTCTCAAAAACTTTTAACATTGAATTCATTCCATGTGCCTCATATTTCAGGAATACTGGGTTACATTAATTATTTTGAGTTTTGTGTGGTGGCTATAGGGACATATATGTATTCACAGGCAGCATAAAACCATAGCCATTGACTTAATTTACTGGATACGTAATGCAGGCACTCAAAATGTAAATTTAAAAGGATTTCATTTGTCATCATGTAAATGTTTTGTTCATTGAATCATATTTCATCAAAATTCATAATTCATTTAAAGCTGTCATGTCAAGCAATTCCTCTAAACTTTTTTTGATATGTGGGGGTTGAGATGCAGCCTGATTTAATAGATTCTGACCCATTTGTGCAAAAAGTGCTTTTGATAATTTGGCTGTGGCTGTTCGTATATTTCCCCCAGCTCCAGGCAGAGAGCCACTATTTGTCATGTTCCCTAAGAGATGCCATAAGACCACCAGCACTTTCTGCTCCGTAGCATGAGGCTTCCTTTGATAAAGTTCCATAACAATATCTGAAACACAAAATATGATAAACAAAGCTTCATTAAAAGCAAATTTAAGGCCTGTTAAGTAACAAGTTCCCAAAATATATGCTTCTTTACTGTGCCATTTGTCCAAATAAGTTAGGCTTCTTGAAAAAGAGACAAAAAAGATAAAAAGAAAAAAAAAAGAGAAAGAGGCAAAAACCATGCAAAGATAGAGGTCTTCAGGAGTCAGAATGCCACATATGACAGTTCAGCAAAATACAGTAAGAGTATAATAAAACCCACAATATTTTCCAAATGCACTTAAATAATTTATAGAGCTTAATTCATGGATCATCTATCAAACAAAATTTTGAACCGGCACTCTTCTACAAGTACCGATATGTGACTTTTATGCCTTTTAAAGCAAAGGATAGTATTCTCCATTTTCTCTCATCTCCTTTTTTGTTTTATAGTGCTGGGGATTAATCCCAGGGTCTTGAAGTGCTAGGCAAGCACTCTATTACTGAGCTATACCTTCAGTCCCAGAATTACTTTAAAAAATATTTTGGGTACATGTCTTAAAAGGTTTTCCTGTGGATTATTACACAATTTATTTCTACCTTAAAGATAGTGACATTGAATTGGCAGTGAAAATTAAATGGAAAACCCACCAGTTTACCCTTAATTAATATCACTTGCAGAAAAACGAATGTAACTGGAGATCATCATCTTAAGCAAAAGAAGTTAAACTCAGAAGGACAAATATTGCATGTTTTCTCTCATTTGTAGTTCATAAATTTCATATCACTACCCAAAATTATATATGTACACAGGATGTGAAGGTAGAAGTTAGACTGGGAAAATGAATGAGAGTAACAGGAGGGGTCAGGGAGAAAGGGGGAGTGAATATGGTCAAAGAACAAGATGCACTTGTATGGAAATGTATGTATGTAAATCCATGAATATATCCCAATAAAAATTCACACTAAAATATATTTCTTTAAAAATTATAATTTAAAATTATTTACCAGCAAGCTTTTCTGTCATATCTTGTTTTGCTTTTCCATTTAAAAACTGAGCTTTGGTGCAAAATGGCTGAAGAAGTAAGTAATTGTCTAAACAAAAAAGAACAAGAGAGACATAATATTAAGAATGAGATCTTAGCGATTACTAGGAAATGTTACTAGGAAAAATAAATCATTTCTAGAATGCAAATGTATTAACTTTAAAAATCCTATATATTTAATCCCCATTTATAATTTTCTATAACTTTAAGAGTAATAGTCTTGTGGCAAATATGAAACAAAAATACCTCACAAAGCATTTGTTTTATACCTCACAAAGTAATAAAGAAGCCATCATGTGGCATAAATAGAAAATGCTGCCTATCTCTTAGGCATCTCATTTCCAAATGATAGTATAGCTTTTCTATAAGACAAAAATTTTAAAGTGATTTTTTTAACTTTAGTGATTTTTTTTTAACTTTAAAAGATTCACAGAAAGTTATAAAAAGAAGTTTTGTATCCCTTTCATTGAAAGATTACATCTCATATAATGACAGAAAATACCAAAACAAGGTATGTGTGTGAATAGATTTACCTCATTTTATTGCAACCACCACTACAGATAAGACACAGACTTCATCACCATAAAGATCTTGCTGATTCTTTTAATAGTGACAAAATATTAGACAGAATTAGCTTAAAAAGGGTTGATTTGGTCTCATGTTTTCCAGAGCCATAATCACTTGGTCCTGTTGCTTCGGGACTATGCAGCATAGCAACCACGGAGGAAGCACACAGTGGAGGAAAGAGCTCACCTCCTGGCATCCAGGAAGGGAAGAGGAGAGAATGGGGTCCTAGCATTCCCTTCAAGAGCACATCTCCAATGATCTGTTTTGTTTTTCAGGGGGGCTTTTTTTTTTTTTTTTTGGTACTTTTTGGTATTTTTGAGACAGGGCCTCCCTGTAGCCCCAGCTGGCCTGGAACTCTATTTAGACTAGAAACTCTATTTATACCAGGCCGGCCTTGAACTCACAGAGATCCACCTGCCTCTGCCTCTCGAGTGCTGGGATTAAAGGCATACTCCACCACGCTCAGCTCCAGTACAGTGATTTAACAGACGGTGGAAAATTTAAGAGATAGGGAAGGTTATTTTTTGACCCTCTTACAACTCATTTTGGTTTCCATCTCCCTGTATGACCTGCCACTTTCCCGTGAGATTCCACCATGCTAGCCACCTTATGATGAATGGTGGGGGAGGGGTTTGTTGGAGTATCTGTCTGAGTCACTTTTCCTGTTGCAGTAGTAAAACACCCCAACAAAACCAACTTAAGGGAGAAAGGATTCATTGACTCATAGTCTGAGGTTACAGTTCATCATGGCAGGGAAGTCACAGTAGCAGGAGCTTGAGGCATCTGGTCACACAGCATCCCAGTCAAGAAGCAGGGAGCAAGGAATTTTCATACTCAAGTTTGAATGCCCACATAGAATTCACTTCTTCCTTTTTATGCAGTTTAAGACCCAAATCCAGGGAATGGTGCTGACCACTTTTTGGGTGTGTCTTCCCACTCAATTACCTAATCTAGATAATCCCTTACAATCGGGCCCAAAGCTTGTCTCTTAGGTGACTAGATCTCATCAAGTTCATTATGATTATTAACCACCAAGGGCTCCTCACCAGCACCAGCACCAGCACAACGCTACCTGGACAATCAACCTCAAAAACTTTAAAACTATGAGCAGCTAAATAAGCCTCTTTCCTTTCTTTCTTCTTTTTAAATTTTTTTTATTTTTTGGTCTTTTTGAGACAGGGTCTCCCTGTAGCTCCAGCTGGCCTGGAACTCACTGTGTAGACCAGGCTAACCTTGAACTCACAAAGATCCACCTGCCTTTGCCTCCCCAGTGCTGTAATTAAAGGTGTGCACCACCATGCCTGGCATAAACCTCTTTTCTTTATAAATTAAACTGGCTTGGGTGTTTCCTTATAGCAATAGAAAATGGACTAAAATAGGTTGTCTCAGTTTGCTTCACCATCTACTCCTTCAGGACACCTGGATTGTTTCCAGTTTTTAGGTATAAAAAAAGTTGCTATAAGTGATTGTGTATACATTTTTATACAGGTATTAAGTTTTTACTTCTTTGGGATCATTACCCAAGAGTTTAACTGATATGCTATGTGCTAAGTGTATCCTTGGTTTTTAAAGAAACTTCCTAGTGTAGCTGTATCATTTACACTATCATAAGAAATGCATAAGAAATTCTCTTTTCTTTACACCCCATGAGCATTTGTTACTATCTCATTTTTTTCTCTTTCCCTTCCTTTCTTGCTTCCTATACATGAATGTATATAGGTATTGTGAGCAGACGTGTGCCACAGCCTGAGTGTCGAGGTCAGAGGACAACTTGTGAGAATCAGTTCTCTTTCCTTCTACATTGAAGGGCCAGAGAGCATCATGCTTGGTGGCAGGCACCATTACCTACAGAGCCATCTTGCTGGCCTCAATCACATTTTAAAATTTTAGTTGCTCTAATACTCTTTTTTTTTGTTTGTTGGTTGGTTTGGTTGGTTTATTTTTTTTTTTTTGAGACAAGGTCTCACTATGTAGCTCTAGCTGGCCTTGAGTTCGTTATGTAGACCAGACTGGCCTCAAATTCAGAGATCCACCTCCTTTTGCCTCCCACGTTCTGGGATTGCACAACACCTGGCTGCTTGTTCTTTATTAGTTACTTTTCTGTTGCTGTGTGAAATACCATGACCAAAAACAACCTGTGGAAGAAAGAATTTCTTTTGGCTTAGAGTTACAGAGGCAGAAGTCCATAATGGCGGAGAAGCCTTGGCAGCAAGCAGCAGGAAGTTGAGACATCACACCTCAACTGCACACACAAAGCAAGCAGAGTGAACTGGAAGTGGAATGATGCCATCAACTCTCAAAGGCCCTGCCCCCACACCAGTGGCTTACTTTCTCCAACAAGGCTCCACTATCGAAATGTTCTATAACCTTCCCAAACAGCACCATCAAATGGGGAGCAAGTGTTCCAGTTACCTGAGATGATGGAGGGCATTTCTCATGCAAATCATCATGGATATGTAGTGATTATTGCCTTAATTTGCCTTTGTATTTCCTTAAGGCAGAATGTTGTTGAGCATCTTTTCATGTGCATATTTTTCTTTTCTTTCTTTTTCTTTTTTTTTTTGTTGTAGCCCCAGCTGGCCTGGAACTCATTATGTAGACCAGGCTGGCCTTGAACTCACACAGATCTGCCTGCCTCTGCCTCCCAAGTGCTGGGACTAAGGCATGCATCACCATGCCCGGCTGTGCATATTTTTCATACATATATTTTCCTTAGTGAAATGTTTTTTCATGTCTTTTTTGTTTGTTTTCTACTTATTACTATGTTGTTGTTATTCAAGGTTGAGTTTTGAGTTCTTTAGATATTCTAGATATGAGTTCTTGGTCAGATATGTAATTTGTTAACATTTTCTTTCAGTCTATAGCTTTTCTCTTTATCCACTTAATACTGTCTTTTGTAAATTTAAAATTTTTCAAATTAATTTATGTTGTATGTATGTGAGCATGCACACATGTACAGATCAAAGAACAAATGCAAGAGTAAGTTTTCTCCTTCAACTATGTGGATCCCAAGGATCGAATTCAGGTCATGAGCCTTGGCAGCAAATAACTTTACCTACTGACCTATCTCACTAGCCCAACTTAAAAATTTTTAATGAATTTCACTTTATTGACTTGCATGAATCATGCTTTGAGAATGATCTTTAAAGCTTCACCAAACCCTAATGTCCCAAAAATTTTTACACATTATATTCCAAAAGTATTAAAGTTATATATTTAAATCTATAATCTATTTTAATATCATGAATATGAGAATATGAGATAGAAAAAAATTAAAACTTCAAAGATAAGGAAAGAAAATGTCAATTAAATGAAGCAATATTTGATCACTAAAATAATTTTTGAAAAAGTTGCTGACAACTATTAAATGAAAAATCTTGGGGGGAGGAAGTGAAGAGATGGTACAGCTGTTAAGAGCACTAGCTGCTCTTTAAGAGGACCTAGGTTTGGTTCCTAGCACCCACGTAGCGGCTAACAACTATCTGTAACTCCAGTTCCAAGGGCTCCAACACCCTCTTTGGGTGTCTGTGGGCACTGCACACACCTGGTACACTTACATACATGTTAGCAAAGACTCATACACATAAAATAAAGGTAATAAAATATTTTTAAAAGAAAAAAACTTATTTCAGCATATAAAAATATATGGAATTAGAAGACATGAAAATAAGATCAAATAGTTTGAGTGTCAAAGTAAAATTTCTTACCTACATGCTGACTCAGTGCATGAACAACATTTGTGGCAGCAGCATAGATGCCTGGATTCTTGGAATTCAGATTGTTATCCACAATTGCAGGAATTAGCATGTTGATTATGGGAGACAAGTTGTCTCTAAGTAAAGGAATCATTTTATGCATTGTTTCTAGAGCCACCAGGTTTACTTTACTATTAGAATCATGAAGTCGAGATTTAAAAGCATCAAAGATCTGAAAATAAGTTGGTAAATTATTTAAGTAAAACCAATGTTTATATTTTTATATTCTATTTAAATTTTCTTACCATTTCATGGTATTTCTCCTACTTCACACACATTCTCTCTCTCTCTCTCTCTCTCTCTCTCTCTCTCTCTCTCTCTCTCTATTTTACCTGAAATTAGATAATAGAAACTTTATAAAAATTGTTTGTGGACCTGGAGAGATGGTTCAGCGGTTAAAAGCACTGGTTGCTTTTGCAGAGGACCCAGGTTCAATTACCAATACCCATATGGCAGCTAACAACTGTCCATAACCCTAGTTCTAGAAGATCTGATGCCCTATTCTGTCCTCCTTGGGCACTGCACAACACGAGTGCACCTATATACATGCAGGGTAAAATAAAAATAATAAATATTTTAAAACTTGTTGGCTAAATTTAAATTTTGAAAAAAAAATAGAAAGTAAAAAAAAATCACACTAACAGATGTTCTAATAAAAGATTACAAATGTAGTTTGATAGGCATCTGACTTAATGCAAACATGATAAATTTGCTGTTAGCTAGAAAGTACAGGTTAGCTTAGCTAATGCTAAGAACGTAGGAAAAGTGTCTATTGCGCCTTTATTCAAAACAGAAGACATGAAGTTTTACTATCATTTTAAGTTTGGACATTTTAACATCATTTTAAGTTAAGACAATTTTAGATGTAATATCATCCATCTCTCCATTTGCAAATCATAATAAGAATCAAACTCAGAGACTAATACCCAGAAATTAGGCAAGTGCTCTGACCAGCTGGCCTTGAACTCACAATGTAGCCAAGGACGATCTTGAAGTTCTGTTCCTCCCCCCCGACCCTGGAATCACAGCATGTACACCATTCAGCATGGGCTTTGTGCATGCTAGGCAAGCACTTCACCAAAAGAGCTACATCCCTCCATTCTTCAGACTAAAAACGCTTTTAAAAGTTTATTTCATTTTTCTTTTTTAGTTTTAAAGAGTATTTGCCTACACACATATATGTATATGCACATGCGTGTACAGCACCCACAGAGGCCAGAAGGTGGCATTGGCGCCCATGAAACTGGAGTTATGGACAGTAGAGAGCCACCATGCAGGTGCTAGGAACTGACCCAGGTCCTCTAGAAGAGTGGCAATACTCTTAACTGCTGAACCATCTCAGAAGCCCCAATTCTTACTATTATTTTTAATTTAAAATATTTTATTTATTATTTTTATTTTATGTGTATGAGTGTATTGCCTGCATGTAGGTAAGTCCATCCATATCATGCAATGCCCACAGAGGACAGAAGAGGCCGTCAGATCCCCTAGAACTGAGTTACGGACAGTTGTCAGCTGCCATGTGGGCGCTGGGATTCGAACCCAGTTCTTCTGCAAGAACACAGTGTTCTTAACTGCTGAGCCCTCTCTCCAGCCCCAATTCTTACTATATTTTAATATGATACTTTAACAATTACTCCTTGTTCTTCAGGTTCCTTAATTTTTATAAACTCAAGATATAATAAAATATTAAATAAGCCTTTCATGAGGTCAGGTAACTGAAGAGCTACTCTATAAAGCTACAATCATTAATAATTTCTAATATTATTATTTTTCATGTTAAGAAGTTTAATGAAAATATTTACTTAACAGATACTAGAAAATGACTCATTGGAATTAAAAAATAGTTACAGTATATTTGTCAAGTTTAATGTTAACCTAATTAGCATAATTAGATTATGCTACTAATTTAAATGGAATTTAATGAATAAATTACTAATAGAATTTGCTGAGCTAAATTCTGGTAAAAC